GATCTTACAGCAGTGCGCAGAGTCGGCGCGTCCCCATTCACGCAGGAGGCCCTCGACTTTTCAACCCACTTGGGCCGAGACACTTACTACTACTACTACTACTACTACTACTACTACTACTACTAACAACGTGAGTACGACGACGATGACAACGACCTCTCGGATCCACTTCGGAACCACAAATTAACTAATTCCAACAATTCCCTGCAGCTCTACATCCCTTCCATCGCCACGAACGGCCAAATCAGGCTGTAACCCCTGCCGTGTTTTGACGCCCTGAAATGCTCAAAACCTCAAGCCCGACAGCCCACAAGCGTAAATTATCGTAACCTGCTTACCACCCTCGGCACCGAAGCCTGTTGTGGCTAGCGCATCACTGTGACCGATGAGAAAACCAACTAGGCACATCAGGAAAAGCAACCGCCCGGCGGACTGCAGGGAAGAGGCCAAGAAAGCAACAAGTCGTCGAAATGGACAGGGGATATCAAAACCATGCGTGGAATACGTAAGATCTGTGACATGGTCGTACTGGCAGAAATGTTGCGACGATACCTTACTCGCAGTTTACCGATGCACAGGGACGGGCTACTTACAACGCGGCAAATACCAGCACACAATGGCACAGACAGCATGCCTCAAGAGAGTAGCAACTATGGAAAGAGGTGCTTTCGCCCCGCGATGGGCCTGCAGGCTTTTGTCTCGCCCCACATCTTCCGATGGGTGCTCCGGCGAATCCACCCTCATGAATCAGCAGCAATTCCCTAAGGCTTCTTGTATTTCGGGATACCTACGACCCTTCATATGCGCAAACTGCTTCCCAGGGAATCGGGTTCATGCTACACAGCTTGGCCGAAAGGACCGACGTGGTCTGTGTTTCACAAGTCTCCAACGTGTAGGCCTGGACCCTTGTTAGGCATAGTGGGTTATCTCAACAACAAGACGTTCATATTCAATCAATGTCAGCATGTCTACTCTTGTCCCATGAACAAAGGGGGAACGTCAGCACATCTGCGATGGCCCTTCAAGCAACAACAAGCATGATGTCTACAGCAGCCCTCCCAAACAAGGTCGCAGCAGGTTGAGGTGTGCGCTGATGGGACGATCAAAACTGCATCTCGCAAAGACTCACAGGGGGCATTGAAGCCAATGAAGAAACCATTTTCACTCCCGAAGATTCGAAATGTAGGGTTTACTGGATGTTTTTTAACTTAGGGTTCAGTATGGCTTTGCTCCCGAGCTTTCTCCAGATTCATGGAAATTGTTGGAATGTTGGAAAAACCAACATTTTCCATGCTTGGTCTGTGGGGAACCATGGAACATGCTGGTTTTACCAACATTTCCGACACTTTCTACGATTCCAAAAACTATGGCTCCGGCTCCCGAAGTTTCTCCAAATTCAGGTGGGAACCATGGAGAATGTTGGTTTTACCAACATGTCCAACAATTTCCGAAACCAGAGGAGTCGGAGCGGTAGTTTCCGGAATCTTGAAATTGTTGTACAACCAGCATTTTCCATGACTTGTCCGTGGGGAATCATGGAAAATGTTAGTTTTACCAACATTTCCAACACTGTCTATGATTCCGGAAACTATGGTTCCGGCTCCCGAGGTTTGTCCAAATTCATGTTTTTTTTTTTCAAATGTCGCTGAAACCAATATTGTCCATGACTTGTCCGGCAGGAATCACGGAAAATGTTGGTTTTACCAGCATTCCCAACAATCGAAAGTATGGCTCCGGCTCCCGAGGTTTCTCTTAAGTCATGGAAATGGTTGCAAAGGTCGGGTTCGCCAATATTGTCCACAGGTAAGTATTTCAAAACGGTGTTACCGTACCGAAATTCGTGATTGAACACATCTTATGTACTCATGCTATGTGTGTTTCCAACATGGGCCTGTAAGGTATTTGCATCCTTGATTAAACTCAATAGTTTGTCTAACACGAAACTAGGTAATCATGTCTGCTTGAAGACGTTACTGTGCGAACACCAGTTCATTGTTTTTTCCACAGAGCTATAATTCATGTCTACGGTTCAAAACTTTATTTTAGGAGAAATTATAGCTGTTCGAACATGCTTATGCTGGTTTGATCACACACCCCTTAATCAAAAGACGATCATTCGCACCAGAATTATGACATACATTGATCATTGTCAAATGGTCGTCATTTGGTAGCTGCAAAGTTTCGAAAACGAAGTTGAAGCGACTGCATTACAAATCGTAGTCCGACCACAAAAATGAACAGGACTTGTATTATAAAAACACGTAAAATGAACTAAACTCAGACTAAACATGTCGAACTTAACTGGACATGACAAAAAGAAAAACTAGCAAAGCCGACTAATAAACAACGGAACATAGAACCTGCGGTGTAATACGCAGCCACGGCATGTTGCATTATGTTGGACTTGGAACACTAACACTCCACTCTCAACAGGTTAGAAACAAGCAAATGTGTTACGTGATTAACCATCATCCTACTAGGAGGTCTTGTAAGCACAGGTGTGAATGTTCAAGAAGCGCTGAATGGTAGGTTATATTCCAAATGTATAAGCGCAGGACTCAGCAAGTAGTACATTTACTTTGTATACAATGCTTGGCTATTATTCAACAAGGTTTCTGAACGCGGGGATGCTAGAGTAAGATCTTCATGGGTGGCCGCGGGGATGCTGCAGTAAAATCCCATGCCGTGCAACGCTCTTCGTTTTAGTTAGCTTCAGTAGGCCTGCTTCGCCATACCCCCAGTCACTACTGTATGTAGGCTCCTCGCGACCACAGGCATCGTTAATAAGACGTTTTTCCCATGCCATTCCTTGCTTCTTTCTGCGTGCGCATGCGCTCGCAGCCTTGTGTGTCCGATTTCTTTCGTGCTTGCGCATGATGCGCAAGCAAACACATAGGTTGCTTTCGGCACAGACTCTTGACACAACATCCAGAGTTCATGGCTGACTCATGTTTGCGAAATGCCGTACCCCTACCCCTCGGTCCGCTTAAGCAAAGCAAACCTAGGTACCGGATGGGGGGGAGCAGCAACAAAAACAAATATATATATATATATATACACACATACACACACTATGAATATGTGCATTCGTGCCCAGACAGCACCTTGTCACACCATCATGCGCATATTCCTCGAGGCGGCCCCAACAACAAGAAACAAAGACTTCGGATTATTCATGATTATTCCCAACGACCCTTGCTCGAGACTATACTAAAAGAAACACAAGCCGGAAAGACAAACAAAATGAGGCTCGAGGCAGTGCCACAAAACACCACAAACAAGAGAACTAAGAAAGCAAGAACCAGTCTCAACAGAAACCAAAGGTTAGAGCATCGGGCACACGTGGCTGGCAGCCAAGAACCGTGGCTCAACTATTTTCCGATCTAGGTTTCCAAGTCGTGGGCGGGCGAAGGGTGGAGCACGATCGCGTCCTTTCTGCTCGGCCGCATGTTGCCGCACTGTTTGCATCTTCATTGAGAACTCTCTGCCAAAGGCGATTTCCTGAGAAAATCCCAGAAAAAACGCGAACTGGAGAGCGCAACTGAGCATATCTCTCAAGGCAGTCCCAAAAAAGTTGAGATACCAAAATCCAGAATCCAAGAAATTAGCATATCTCTCGAGATAAGACCAACAAACCTAAATACCAAACATTCAAAGCTATTCCAAAAAAAGGCATGTCCCGCGAAAAGTCTCAAAGATCACACAACCCTATGGCATAGCCTGGAATCTTCGCTTTTTTGTTGTTGTTTGGACTGCCTCGACGAATATGCTCAGTTTTCGGCTTGCAGGTTTAAACAATCTTGATATTTCGGGGATTGGCTTTTGAAATATGTTCATTCCAGGTTTCTGAAGGTTCTGAGCTCTTTGCTTCCTTGCTTTCTTCTAGGACTGCCTTGAGGAAAATGCTCAGGTTGTGGCATGTGGGTTTGTTGTGTTTTGGTTTTCGAGGACTGGCTCCAGAAATATGCTTGAGGACTGCCTCGAGAAAAATGCCTGTTCCAGATTTCTCACGGTTCTGAAATCTTTGCATTGTGGATCTTTTGGATTGCTGTGAGGAATATGCTCAGTTTTTGGCTTAGAGGTTTTTGTATTCCTCTTTTTGGGGCTTTCCTCGAGGAATAAGAAATTTCTTCTTTCTTGATTTATTGCGTGCACACCTTCGGGATATATATGTGTATATATCTATAATATCTGTCTTCTGCATCATGCGCAGATCCAAGTGTATCTCCACGTACAGTTGTGTATGCATAAGCATATATATTTAGATGCGAGTTAAGTGGGTATTGGCCTTTGTGCTTTTGCATGTTTTGAATAGAGAAATATTTTTGTGTATGGCCGTATATCTAGATACATCTATTTGGGTGAGGATATGTATATTGGGGATGGGCATGTATGCGGGGCCGAAAAAGTTGAGCATTTCTATGTATGTGTATATATACAAACTGAATATATGTTTAGACAGTTATGGACAATATGGATAAATATAACAATGAGCACAACATAAACACGTAAGGTTTAAACAAACCTATATATATATATATTATATGTGAATTTTGTATTCATATATATATATATATATAATATGCTTCTGCATGCGGGCCGATGTTTCGAGACACATCCGCGAATTGTCAGTTGGTTTGTATAGCCATATACCACGACTAAAGCATTGAACAACTTTGCAGGCACAGCATATTTACAAATCGGTACAGATCTGCATTGTCGCCGTGCGAGAAATACGGGTTTTTCCACGACATCTTCAGCGACTCATGGCGAGATCTCTCTATATGCTGGCAAATGGACTGGGAGCTCTGTCTGATAAAAAACTTCTCTGCAGCACATAGCGCATATTTCCCTGGTAGCAGATGGGCATGCATGTCCGTATATATTCATGTATATGCATATACAAATACGTACACCACATATCGTGAGCTCACTCCATATTTTTCATGTTATCTCTATAGGCACAGTTTAAACCAGGAAGTCTTTTCGAAAAGCCTATGGCGGCCTATGGAGCTTGTTCATTGTTATCGTCTTGTGAGTTCGTGGTCTTTGCTTGCTTGATCTTGTCGTTAAGGTTGGCTGGCACGGTTGCGGTTGTTTCCTCACAAGCTAGAGTGCTAGAGACTGATTGAATAGATCGTGCTGCTTGTTTGCTTCCTGACTCGTTCATCCATGGATCGGCCCGTCTACTTAAAGGGGCTCATCTTTTCGTCTGACAAATAAAAAACTACTTAGGGACAAATACACCGAAAGCATACACAGAGGTATATGAGCATGTATGTATATATGTATTCATATGTATATACATGGACCTGTGACAGCACCAGAGGTCATGGTTTTTGCATTCTCAATATATCCTGATACCAAGTTAACAATCTATATTAATCCTCTTGTAACCAATCATAGTTCTTAGTTACCTTCTTCGCATGAAAGTATGCAGCATTCGTTCTACCACAACATAAAAACATACAACAATCGTTGACTCCTGACCAATGTCTGGGATGCGCACCGTATGCGCCGTGTAGCGAGAACTTCGTCCCCACCAGACCCTCGCGAGTTGCAGCTTCGGTTTAAAGGGACAGAATATGGAAACTACCAAAAGTGCAGCGGAGTATGCGAAGTCCACCAAAAAAACTCATCAGCGCAAACTTCCAGCCTTTTCTATTATATACATGCCCAAAACCGACCCTGGGTACCGCGGCTTGTGGAGCCGTCCGCCTTTTGCCAAACTCCGGAGACGTTTCACCCTACTCGGTTCAACAGTTTATCAGGAGCACAGCAAAGCACAGCAAGCGAGAATCACCGAAAACCACATCCCGTGTCCTGGCTTCTAGGACAATTTCGCAGTGGACATCCTGCGGCATGCAAGCCAACTCTCTGTAGAGGTAAGCTTTCAGTCCACGAGCGCTTGATGCACAACGATGTGCAGCTTCGTTTCGATGCAGGCAATTCAATTCCAGGCCATCCAAGACCCAACATGCACTGCAGATGCCACCAACCTCCAGCGCGCTGGAGGCACCAGAAGGTGACACATACAGACAGGCTACCGTGGTTATCCACATTCTACGTTTGCTTGTGACGGCAAAATAAAACACAAAGTGCGGTGGGACTCAAAGTCCGAAGGCCGCAAACCTCCGCAGAGGCTGTAAAACACGGAAAATAAAACTACCCTGACCCCGAGATTGGTGGTCTGGGTCTTGAGTGCGACTCACGACAGGTGCTGCTCGAAGAGCGCGGGGTCGTTGTCGCGCTGCTTGGGGAAGAGGTCGACCATGTCGTCTTCACGGCACGTGTCCCAAGTGGAGCAGTGCAGGGAGCCCCCATACTCGAAGACATTACGAAAGGGTACGGGGATGACCGTCTCAAAGCCGCATCGATGCTTCAGTAGCTCCTGCAAACCTTTCTCCTGCTCCTCAACAATGACTTTGCTCGGGCCGATGACAAAAATGTTCATGCTTAGCCACTTGGAACTCTGCGAGAAAGCTGGGCGCTCCGGGTTGTCTGGCTGGCCACAGTCCACGAAGTCCCAGCCGTTCTCCTTCCAGAACGCGGCATCCCTGTCGGCGATGGGCCGCTCAGGGTTGGTGAGCACCAGCCGCGGTCCGAGGACGACGAAGGTGCAGTCGATGTGCGACGGCGCCAGGTCGTAGGGGAAGTGTGCGGAGTGCACCTTGAGATTGTGTCAGGGCCGTCATGTAACCAAGCACGCGTTTCCCAAGACACACCGTAACCCTAACCAAAGTGGCCCAGAAACCCCAAACACACTGCAACTGTTTGCGTGGAGTGCACCCGGATGCCCTGCGGCGCCAGCTCCCGACGCAGCCACTCGATGCCCGCGTAGTTGCAGGTCATCGATGGCTGCACGAAGATATCTTTGCCACAACGGGTGATATCCGCCGCATCGAAGAGGGGCTCTTCGTTGGTGATGCAGTACTGGTACTTGTGCATGTGCTCGTAGCGATCTTTCTCAGTCCAGTCCCACCAGGACAGGTTGTACATGTCGTCTGCCATGCTGGGCTTGGGCGCCGCCTTCCAGAGCATCTCCGGGTCCTCACGCCAGAGATCCCGCAGGATCTGGCGCACTGCCAAGATCTCGAAGTAGCGGTCACGGCGGCTCATGGTCGCCTCGATGGCGGTCTTGCCGACGGTGATGATGGTGTCGCGAACGCAACAGGCCACGTACTGGTTCTCAACCGAAAACAAAGGCGTTTTCAGCGGCTGACTCCAATCCATGACCTCCGGCCGCAGCGTCTTCACACCCTCGCCCTCCAACACGTTCACGAGGTTATCCAACTCTTCATTGGCCGCATCGACACATCGCTGAGACTTGCGGCCACGGGGCCACTCCCCCAACACCTTGCGCAGCATAGGGTCGTTGATCTCTGGGATCATGGCCGGCTGGACCGGTGGGAAGCAGGCATTGTCAGCCACACCCACCACACACTCTTTGAGCTCGCCCCATTGTGTCCATGCGTTGAGCTTGCGGCCGTCGGCCTTGGGGCTCATCTTGTGCTGGGCCGCCGCGTGGTTCACTTCGGTGCCAAAGCTACGCTGCCCTTTCCACGGCGACTGCTGGTGCCATGACGAAAAGCTCCGGCGGGTGCCGAGGACATGGCGGGGATGGTGGCCGGCACTGACGGCACTGGCCTTTCCGCGTTTTCGGATGATGGGCACCATTGCTGTGTCGTGGGAGTAGTACTCGCAGTCCCTCGGAGGCCCAACAGGGAAGGCCTCCACCAAAAGCTCGTCTGCATGGTACCCGGCTGCTAGCAGGTGCGGCTTCTGGGTGGCCTCGAAGAGCTCATCCCACGAGGCATACTCGTGACGTAGTACACCCAGCGACGTCAAGTTGCAGTAGGTCATGATGCCGCCAGGCTTCAAGATGCGGCGTGCCTCCCGCAAGAAGTCAAACTGGTGCGTGTGCTGCTCCTCCTTGTTCAGCGGATAAGTGTCGTACAAAATGCCGTCCACCGAGTTATCAGGGATGCGCTTGATGGAAGTCTGCCACAGCTCCGGGCCCATGGGCGTCACCTTGGAGGTCGCGCCCTTCGCGAAGTCCTCAAGGCGCTTGAAAACATCGCGGTTGGCCTCCAAGATGATGTGCTCCTCGATCGGGTAAGACTGTACCGCCTTGGCACTTATGGCCATGCCAAAGCCCACTTCCACAACACGGCCGCCGTTGCGTGTGGCCACCTCGGCCAGCTTACCCATGTAAGGTGTCTCCCAGCGCTGCATCACCGGGTGCCCCTCAATGTCAAGGCGCTCCTCTGTGAGCTGCTCTTTCTCCGCCACCCAGCGGCCGTGTTCCGCTGCGCTCGGCAGCTCCGCGTAGCCCTTGGCGGTCACCGCCTTCTGGCATTTTGAAGCAAGCTGCACGACACAACGCGGGCGGCAGCAGAGGATGGCTGGCCGCCGGGAAATCCGGGCGGCGGTCATGAAGTGCTTGGGAAACATGTTTTGATGAAACGAGATCGACCGTCGGGGGGCCCTGGGCGAGTCTGGCTGAGCTTTGCAGCCAACTTGCTCTGCGGCACCTTCTTGCGACAGCACTGACGAGGGCAATGGAAATGCTTCAGGTGTTTTGTCGTCTACTGGTCTCAAGCAGCAACGGAGCACTTGCAAAAAGGATGCAGTTCAACAGCAACTCCAGCAACCTTCGTCCCATAAGTCCTTCCTTCACTCGTAGCTGCTCTTGGCGCTTCCTGGCACTTTTTTTGAAGTCACGACAGGGATAATCATTCATACGGATTCATACGGGCTTCATAGGCCAATGAAGCAGCTCATGCACCAGCTTCCTAGTCTCATGTGCCTCCAGTGCAAACCATGTTGGCGCTGGAAGGGATTTGCCTTCGAGGAATGGTGAATGCTTGTCTTTCCCTCAAGTCACTCGTCCAGACGAAGCTGGGGACGTAAGCACGACCTGGGAACCCGAAATCCGGACCTGCTACTCGCATGAACCTACATTTATGTACAGTAGAGGTCCAGAGCCTACACCGTCATGAGAGTGTTTATACATGTCGTTCGGCGTCCTAGCGAAGACTAGTGCTCAGGCGCTCAGGATCCTGCACCTGATCTACATCACTGTCTACAAGCCGTGCACACCCAAGAATAGTCCTGCATGTAGAGCTTACACCGCCGGCGGTAATCATGAGACTCGTGAACGATAGCTGTCATAAAACGTTGCCCCTTGCACGCTCGCCCATGAAAAACTTCTTTACGCGACTACATTCAACAAACAAATCCATACAGGACCCTGTAAGACCCCAGACCACCCCACACGCACGTGCCCAAAGGAGAGTGCTTCGAAGCCCTGTAGCGCAGCGGGCGCCACCGACCTGGGCGTTTAAGATTGGTTTCTTGACCAAAGCTAGGTTGTGGGGACTCCGGTAGGGCATGGGGTCTTTGGGGCTTCGGACTTTAGTGGTAGGGTGGAGGATTTTGGCGCTCAGGTAGGCCCGGCTGTATTGCAAACATCGCCGGGGGATGTTAGCAAAGACAGTGAAGTCGAACATGAAACTCAAATGACTGCGAGGACAATGATGGCAAAGTACAGTTGGCTCGCGATGGTGAGGTGATGCAATGTCGAGAAGAAAGGGAGGAGGAGAAGCATGGAAAGGAATCCAACCACTCATATCATCATGGTTATGTGATGTTATATGATGACATTGCTGATCAAGCTTCCGATAGGGAGTAGGAGCAAAAGAGGATGAAGATCAGGTCGCCGACGATGACACTACCAGTACTTTTGACAATTTTGACGGAGGCGAACAGTTTTGCTGCTCTTACTTCATTTCCAACTCCTACATCGACCAAGCCCACTTATTGAACAGTTATCTGATGATCTGATGACTTTCTCTGTTGTTTGCTTTTGCATGTATTGAGTTCAGCTGCCGCCAACACAGTAATCCCACACATGATCACCCCCTGCCGGCTTTGCATCATCTACTGCCGGTGTTAGGATTACAACTGTTCCTGCGCGGGATACACTCATGACACCGCAGCAGTCGGTGCTTATGCATTACCACGGGCAACAGTAGCATGGTCAGTGCATTCTTCACGGAATAACTCTTGAGACTCTCTGAGAAGGTGCTTGGCATTTTCGACTTAGCACCAACATAGTTGAATTTCAGGCCGGGCATGCTGTCAATACCAGAGGTCCGAGAAGCGAGCACCACCTTGTCCGAGTTGAACCTCGCTGTCACATACCGCAGAATGGATAATATACGATAACATACAGCCAAACAGCTGGATCACACATTACTTGTGCACGCAAACTTGACAAGTCTCGGTGCGAGCATGTGTGGAAAGTAGATTGGTAACAGAAAGTACAAACATGAACATTGCTCAATTGCTCTTTCGAACATGTCCACCCTAAACGCCCAAAGCCCTAAACCCGAAAAGCAAACATTCGGTAGGATGGATGCACTGCAGCATCCTTGTCGGGCGGGGTTTGCAGAAAGACTCTGAGGCTAACGCTACCTGGCCGGTCGGTCAATATAGAGGCTTTAATGATTAGAATAGGACCCGAACCCCCAACTGAAAAACACCAGCAAACAGAAGGCCCCCCCCACCCACGCCCCCGCCGCCTGCACGAACGAAACTTAACTAGACCGCTGGCACCTAAACCCTAAACTTCAATTCCCTAAACCCCTAACACCTAAACCACAGAACCCTAAAACTGAATCCTCAATCTCCTGCCTCCACAGACCCCAAAGAACCTTTATAGTAAACATTGCAGCAACCCCAGTAACCCCTCAAATGGAACCCATATAGCAACCCTCCCTAAACCCTAAACCCCGAAGCTCAAATCCTAAGCCCTAAACCCTCCATCTCGCGCCTACCCATCTTCCGACCTTCATAAGTGCACTTCAGCATCCAAGCCTCTGCTGAGAGTGGGATAGGGTTTAGGGCTAAGGGTTTGGAGTTTATGGTTTGGGGTTTGCGGTTTAGGGTTTGGGGTTTCGGGTTTAGGGTTTGGGGTTTAGGGCTTGGGGGTTTGGGTTTTGGGGCTTCTACGGTTTTAGATTTTTTCGGTGGTGAGTGGAGGGCAGGTTTCAGCCCCTGCTACGCCAGTTTGGGCTCCGGGGTGCATTACAGCTCTTTGTCTCTTAGAATATGTATATATATATATATGTATATATATATATAACTTAACTGATATAGACACTGAGATGCGTGAGTGTTTGCCACTTATGTTACTGTTCCTGTTCCTTGCTACATGCATACGTTTTTAACTACTGAACTCTCTTTTACGGTTCTGCGGTCAGAAACAAAAGCGACGTCTCCCCTCCGAAAATGGCCTCTGGTCTAACATGCGGAACGAAGCTACAGATCAAATGGAACAACCATCGTGCAGAGGCCGTCCGTGACAAAATTCGCACATATAACAACCCTAAACCCTAAACCCACAGCCCGCAAACCCCGAAACCCTACACCCCAAACAGAAGCAAAACGAGTAATCCTCCCAAAGCCCAGTAGTTCTGAGATCCACACAAAGCTCGGGTCGGTGAAATTGACGAAGCAGTAGCCGCAGTTCCTCGGGGTTTACTGAGGGTTTAGGGTTTAGGGGGTTTAGGGTTAAGGGTTTAGGGACAAGGCTTTAGGGTTTAGGGTAAAGGGAGGGGAGAGAGTATTCTTGCTCATGCCAGGTTGTATTGCTTCATACCAATATATCAAGTTTGTGTTAACCTATCCCGTTCTATACTATACGGTACTTTTTTATCCTATACTATGCAGTGTGCTAAATATACGCTTATATAGCCTTACCGATTAAGTACGTATGTATGCCCCATACATACACTCGCAATCACTCGCACACAGACATACACACACAAAACCCCAATGCCCATCCAAAGAGGTCCTAAAGTTGAGGTGTGGGTGTTCGTTTTGTTGAATCGCAATGTACCCGTCTCGGGTCTACGGTTCAGGGTTTAGCTGTTCTTTCGTAGACCCTGAAATCCGAAAAACCTTCGCACGCCCGCAGATGCAAGCCGGAACATCTCAAGACAGATCGCTGCTGGCCCGTCCGGTGTTGAAAGAAACGCCCTCAAGGCCTCAGACCCTAACAGCCCTCAAAAATTCCGAACCCGAAACCTTCAAAGTGTGGGTTCAGGCTATCACGAAAGCTGGTAATAAAGCCAGTCCTCCGACTACTCGCCCCAGAAAGCCAGTAGTCCTCCACCCAAAACTTCAAACCAAAAGCTTCTAAAGCACAAATCGAACCCCCTTTTCCTGAAACCCTACAACAGAAAAGCAACGACGATTTTAACCATAGACGCTGAAACGAAAGTTATGCAAACAGAACACAATGCCCAGCCAGAACTTGATCCCCAAAGTCTCCCAAAGTCGAAAATCCGGAACATTGAAGCCGTGAAGCCGAGAATCCGATCCCTCAGCCCTGAGCCCTAAAATCGTAAACTCTCAGCCTTAAGCCCTAAACCTCTAAACCCATGAACCCTAAACGCCTAAACCCTAAACTCCTAACACCTAAACCCTAAGCCCGCAAACCTCACAGGGGTCTCTGGCGCATTCGTCTCGGGGTCAATGGGCAAGCAGAGCAAATCAAGTTCCCAAAAAGCCAGACCTGGCACTTTTGTATATATATATATATATGTATACACACCTATTCTATATGTACACTGTAAACATACATATGTATAAGTAAGTGTATATATATATACACATATATATATATCTATATGTATGTTATATGTAGATGACAACAATCATAGCTATACTAAACTGTACAAAAAATATCTCCGCGTGTGTGTATCTATATATATATATATGTATTGTAGACATATTTTCATGCGACTTTTTCTGAGCACATGCTATATGCTTGGGTTTGGGCGTTGGGGATTTGCGCAAAACACCACCACTTGGCAGGGTCGTGCGGTCCGGACGGCCGGGGTTGGGCTTCAGTATATGCCGGCTAAGTCGAAAAGCCATACACGCTAATTAAAACCCCCAAACACCTCTAAAAACGCAATTTCCTGCATTCCAAAACCCTAAAACCTAAATTCTCAAACCTTAAGCCCTAAACCCTCAATTCCTAAACCCTAAACCCTGCAAAGTTCCAGAGCTCGGGTTCAAGATCCTGGTCGTAGTGCACTTGCTCTTTTCAAAGAGCCTTGTACCAGACTATGTTATGCTATATAGCTGTAGTGTAACATAAAAAACCTACTGTGTCATGCTATGTAGCTATAGTGTAACATAAAAAGCTACTATGTTACGTATGCCATATAGCTATAGTGTAATTCAAAAAATATTATGTAGCTAGAGTGTAATATAATGAACCTACTCTGTTATGCTTCATAAACTAGTGTGATATGTGTACGATTGTACTTTGTCATATTGCGTAATACCCTGACGGACCAGACGGCTCTGGACCCCGGGTCATGGTATAGTTACAAGATGTGATCGCGCATGCTTCACCCCAAACCCTAAACCCCTAAACCCAAACCCCAAAACCCCTAAACCCTAAACCCCCAGCCCTAAGAACTCTCTAAATCACAGTGGAAACTGTCAGGTCGACAGTTACCACGCCTGATCTTTCAACCCCAAACTGCAGAATTGTTCAGGTTTAGGGTTTCAGGCCCAGGGTTTAGGGTTTCAGGGTTTAGGGCTGAAGGCGTAGAGTTTGGGGAGTAGTACCAAGTACCTTCAAACAAGCAACAAACGAGCAACAAATGAAGCCCTGACTCCTAAAAGTGATATGACTGCACATTAAGAGCAGAAACCCACCAGGAACCCTAAACCAAGATCTCGAAGCCCGACTACACCTGCGTTGAAAGATGCTGAAGGCATCATACACCCTAGACCCGACACAGATGCTGCGAACACTGCGCCGAAGCATGCCGAAGCTTAGCTTTGACGGTTGGAATCTGCACACCCTTAGGCCAACTCAAACTTACAAAACAGTTCCCGAAGTCTAGAGCTGGTGGCACAGGCTTCCGGGCCCATAAACTTGAATACTGAACCCTCAGCCGAGATCCTTGACCCACCAGCCCGAACCACACAGACCCTAATCTTTTTGAAGTGAAGACTTCCCGAGAGCCTTGAAGAGTTTAATTTAGGGTTTGGGGTTTAAAGGTTTAAGAGGTTCAGGGTTTGGGGAAGTCACACAGACATATCCTATCAGATCTATTTTTGTCTCAGAGAACCAGAGGGGCTTAGTAGAAAAAAACCCAAATACTAGGATCCTTACCTTGAGTACCCCTAGGTAAGGCATCCTCAGTTTGCAGTCATGCCCATGGATTAGCCCGACGCCTCAAGTGAAACCCACATGGAACCCAAACTGATACCCTCTCATCAGCTCGCATACAGACCTGACCTCCCACCCTAGATGCCTACAGCCCTAACCGCTGAGCCCCAACACCCCAAACTCCGAAACGTGTAAAACCGTAAAGCCTTACACCCGAAACCCTCTTTAACCCTAAATTCCTGAGCCTAAAATCCTAAACCCTAGACACGGAACCACTTGAGTATGACTTCTCTCAGCCAAACCCTCAACCCCAAAAAACACTGAACCCCCAAACCCCAGAACCATTAAATCTCCAAACCAAAAACCCAAAGCAAGCGTTGAATCCGAGATCAAGC